TGATTGTGATTAAAACGAAAATCGTAGTTACGGATATATATATAAATATATATATATATATATATATAATTAAATATACCACATTCAACTAATCCATAGTAGAACCACTAACCATATGATTAGTGGTAGAACTAACTGTTGAAAAAAAAAACCTGTAAGACCCAAGTTCTTATGTTATAACTTTTAGTCTAGTACGTACTGCTCGCCAATGGAAACCCCTGTTTTAAAAAATATTGTACTTTCTATAATATATTCATTAATTTTTTATTTTTTAATTTCTTAATATTTTATAAAAAAAAAAAAAAAAATATGCACTTCATAAAAGTTGTATAACAGTGCGCTCTAATGAGCGGAATGAATATTCGAATGATAAACGAAACAGCAATCAACAAAGTGGGAAATGTCATGTGTAAGTATGAATAAATATGTACATACATGTGTAAATATATGTGCAAATGAATGACGGCACTAACCAGAGAGTGTTTTCTGGTTATGTGTAAGTCCAAACACTTAGATGTATCACTAACCAGAGACTCTCTAGTTAGTGGATGTATGTAGTTTAGTATATTACGGTATTTTTATATAGAAAAGAATTTTACAAAATAATGTTTAGAAAATAAATGACTTCGTTCACAGTGCAATCGCAGTTTGTTAACAGTGAATTAAAATACTTAGATGTATGTTATTTAGTATTTTTGGTATTTATATAAAGAAATCGACCAAAACGATATTTCACGCTGTATTAACATTCTGTTACCTTCCCAAATATAATTCCTAGTTCAGATTAAAATGATAATAAACGGTAAATGAGAATACACAGTTCATCTGTACGGTTGTTTGCCGCGCAACTCTGTTTTATATATTTAACGTAGTGCTTATACATATTCAGTGCTTATACATATACATATATGAACGAAGATACATATGTATGTATTTATCTAGATACATACTATGTGTGTATTTATATTTGCGGCATTGCTGTTAAGTCGGTCGTTCGGTGCGCGGCTCTTGCACATACAATAAGTCAAGTTTGGTAAATCATATTACAATTTACAAACATCTATTTAAAGCTCTGTGTAAAATATACCAAAAGCAAATAAGCCAAAAATGCATGTGTGTGATTTGAGAATATTCTGTTGTGTAATTATCTTTAATATATCGGATAAGAAATACATACAGACAACAGCTCAGGGTATGTGTGTGCGGAAAACTGTGTACATCTGTGTATGCATATGTATAATATCACAAATTAAGTGTATCAAAAATCGAGGCAAATTTAGGATACGATATACGATATATATATATATCGTATGTATATATGTACACATATATGATTGCATGTGTGTGCATATTCACAATGAATGAAGATTTACATATTCTCATGTGTGGTGTGAATAAAACAGCAATGCAGTACATATGCACAAACCCATATAGACGCAAACTCACACACAGACGTAAGATGCATGCCTGCCTACTGTCTGTGGACTAGAATAAAATACATGTATAAGTATGCAGGCATATAGGTATGCACATATGTACGTGCAGCAGTGTGTGTGTATGCATAGCCATTGGTATTTGTATTTTTGGTATAGGTTTTCCGACATTTTTCCAGCCAATAGCTGCTGAAGCATCTGTCTTTGGTGTCGAAACCACAAAAATAATAATAATATATATATATATATATATATA